TCTATACCTGTGACCCAGGTGTTCATTACGATCACTGGGGAAACTGGTTTAGGGGAAAAACTGGTCAAATCGATTTACTAAAACGCACAAAATTAACGATTAAATGCGATTCAATTTGCTTTAGAATAAATGGAAAATAAGTTGGAATTAAAATATAGTCTTTAATTGTGAGCGAATTAATAAATCGATCGGGATCATCGTTTGTCCTGATAGCAGTTTTCTGGAAGTATATTCACAGGATCGAACATTATCGACGAAAATATGAAAAAATGATCGGTGTTTTTGGAGTTTGTTCTAGTTTCTTCTGGACTATGGACGTGTGTGTCAACAGGTCATATTCATTTTCTAATCTGATATTCTTAACCAATCAAGATATAGTTTTTTTGGCCGAATTGCAACTGTATATCCCCTTTTTGGCGATTCTGACGATTCAGAAGAATTACCCGCCAAATCGACAGATATTCGTACAAACAGATAAACATAATCACATTAGCAAAGGTGGGCGTGGCCTAAAAAAAAAAGAGTACACATATATGTTTGCTGTGTCATATCGCTAACAACAAACATAAAATCCAGTAAGTAACAATAACTAAATATATTGACTTTCTTTCGCTGAATTTTTAAAATCAAAAACCCGTTAGATTTACGGATGCCGTTTATCAAGTATTAAAGCGAATCGGGCAGAAGTGACATTTTAAAATGAGCGTGCATTCTCAGTTCCTCGTATATAATAAAAACTGTTTTTGAAGGGGTACTACTAATGAGAAATCTTATATGGAGTGGAGTCTAAAAAATAGACTCATCTTAGGTCGTTTTGCGGAGTTATTTAGAAAATAAACCTATGCGTTTCATATTCGGTAAGCTTGACTTCTTTGTCAATTTACTATAATGCATCAATTTTCACCATGAAATTTTGGAACGATTCCGTTTTCATAAAAACGGTTGAATAAGAGAGAGAGAGAGAGAGAGAGAGAGAGAGATGGTTCAAAAAATTGCCCCAGCGAAGCAACATTTTTTATATCAATTTTGAATGTCAAAGTACTATTATTCAGCGAGTTTTGTCGAGAAATTTTGGAAATTGCAAATGTTAAGATAAGGCAGAGGTACGCAGGTAAGGTAACATACGCAGAGTGATCGAAATCCGAACCATTTTCAATTGCGTTTGTCCTTGGGCCATACCATGTCGGTGTGCAAAATTTCAATAAAATATCTCAAAAATTGCGAACTGCAAATTGAACACAAGAAAATTGGACAGACGGACAGACAAGCGTAAATCGATTCAGAGTCAATTTCTGATTAACACAATAAAAGGTGAACTTATCTTAAGCTTTTCTGCATGAGACGTACAACTGCACAAACTCAAATGACGTAGGGTATAAAAAAGCAAAAACAACAAGAAGCAAAAGCAATATTTACAAAAAAGGAAAAAAAAAAATTCTTTTCACATGCTTAATGGAAAGAAATCTAGTGTTACAGTGACAAAAATTCATGATATTCATGACAGACTATTAAGAAGACGAGTGTGCTGCCTGGCGGGGGAAACTATTTTAAATTTTCACATACCGAACATCTTTATGCACTTAAAACATGCACATTTACTATGCTACTGACATGTGAATGCTATAGTATTATTACGGATACATCTAGAGAAGATGACGGAGACACAATATTCGGCTATTTATTGTCTTCTTATATTCATGTAAAGCTTGCGCGGTTTCAAATTAAATAACTTTCTATGTTAAATAAAATAAAATTAAAGTGCGAAATATTCAATTAAATGTCACTGCGGTTTCACATATCAAACACAGTTTACTCGTCGTTTCCTAAAACTCTTACTACGGAAATCCTTCAGGATATTGCTTTTATCAAGTCTATCTTAATTACGGTCAGAAGTTTTCGTTTCAGACGAAAAAATAGCATAACATATTAATAATTTCCTCGTCTATAGCATTTATTTTCTTCTTCTTTTTAGGTTGAAATTAAAAAACAAAAACAAGGAAAAAAAAATTAGAAGAATGCTAAAGTTATAAACAGCGGTCAAGGAAGTTTTACTTTTGGAAAACTGATACTTATACCATATACCAGTTGTGGTATAGGGTATGTTAAGTTAGTGCGGACGTATGTAACACGCAGAAGGGCTTAGGACCCAATCGATTCAGAATCATAATCTGAATTGATCTAAGCTTGTCTGTCCGTCCCATGTCTGTCAATATAAGTTTTTGTTCAAGCTGATGAAATATGGTACAGTGACGTGTTTGACCCAAGGATGAATGCTATTAAAAATAGTTCTGATCAATCCACTTTTTCGACCATCCCCCATATAACGCCCTATTCTGAAAAGTCGTTATATATAAAAAAATATGACATTTTCAAAATTCCTCGGCAAAAGTGGCTAAGCACTAGTATTTAGACATTCTAAATCGATATGAAAACTTTGGACTATGGGCTGGGGCAAACTTTTAAACCCCCCTCTTATATGAAGAAAACTGAAGTTCATCCGGCAAAAAGGTATAATTTTCAATGTGTCATGATGAAAATTATATCGTATCAGTAATTTAACATAAAAAAATTAATTGTACCAAATTTGGATCATCTCGGCCTATTTCTTGAATCCCAATCTAATAAGGATTTTCACGAAAATTGATCCTTTGTAAAGCAGAAAAGTCTACATTTTTAATATGTGATGATGAAAATTGACCCATAAGAGTAATTTCATATAAAAAAGAACTTTATAAGATTCGGACAATCTACGTCTATTTTTGGATCCTACCACACGTAAAGATTGAATTTGCACTACAGTAGGTTACGTTTTGGGTCCGCTTCCCCACATGAAAAATATGCCTTTACAGAAGCAAGATATAATTTTGTTGTTGTATGGAGTATCTAACGATCGGCCTTGCCCGACTATATAGTTCTTAGTTGTTTTTTTTTTTTTTACGAGGCAGGAATAAGCATTAAGTGATTCACAAAGTAGCTTTAGATCACAGGCTTATTTCCATAATTCAATAATCTATCTGCTCATATATCAAAATCGGTCGCCTAGTGTAAGTGGTATAATTGCTTAAAAACATTTATTATTATACATACTTAAGCAGCAAATTAAACTTATAAGATCAAATCTCAGTCAAAGGGTCGTTGAAGCAGTTATTCACAGGGCAATTTAACCAGTTTTATTTGGCATCACAAAAACTTAACACATATTTTTAACGAATCGCATCGTAAGCGCTGATGACGGCGCTCAATAAATAAGGTACATAATACAAATATCTATGAATTACCCATCGGGACTCCTTAGTCCACGGGAAACGCTTGGCAAACAGCCATCTGTTAAGCTATTCACATATAAATGATAAGCGTTGAAGGGCCAATAAGGTAACTCCTGAAGCAATTCTTATTCCAACTCATACAATTGACGTGGTGTCAATAATTGATGAGTAAGATTGTCTGTTAACTTGACGAAAGGGTACTTCTTCCCTGTTCAAACACGTTAATTTTGTCATTCTGCTGATCGAGTAACGCTGAGTTATATTCGCTTGTCATCGTTTAAGGCTTTTCGAGTTAATGAACGAAGATTGCTATGGCACGTGAACTTTCAAATATATTTTTTCGCTCGCTGTAGCGCACTTTCACTTTCCCCAAGTCATTTTTTCCCTTTTTTTACGTCATTACGCTGTGTAGGGGAGAATGCACTCTTTATCCAATTGACAAAGACTCTCGCATGAATTGACCTTAAATACCGAAAGACTTCTTTTTCAGCTTATGACAAGAGGGTACTACGACGTTTAAAACATACATAGTATTAACTTGATCACCCTTTATATTATTTGCATCTTTTTAATCCCATCACTAAAGGATATGTCGTAATGTTGGCAGAATCTCAAGAAAAAGCTTCACCCCGAGACCCCGATAAAGTATATGTACACTTGCTTAGCATGAAATGCTGAATTGATTAAGCCATGTCCGTTCGTCTGCGTGGTTGTGTGGTGTGTGTTGTTAACACTCTCATGAACACATCGATTCCGAGTTGACTAGAAAGAGAGTTGGAACTCTTGCACGCAATAAATGCTGATGGATGCATAAGATTCGACCTCAGCCAAATATAAATTTCTTATTTCTTAATATTTGACGACAAAATCAGATGAAGAAGAGTATTAGGTGTAGGCCTTTAACCGGCTGCAACGTGTTTATTTGTTTTTTTAGCTATAAAATACATTTTATCGATTTAACAATTTCATTATTTACAATCAAACATTGAGTTATTAGATTACAGGCTATGGTTAACAGTACAGATATGGTTGATAGTATGTAAGCAGCTGCGGTACAATACAAATTAAACCATGGTCCGAAATATTGAGATCGTTCCTTCTTCCTTTAAACAAAAAAGTCAGATAATTTAGCATTGGAAGCTTAAAGCCGTCCGCCGTTGCAACTATATGCATACGTATGTATGTATGTATGTATGTATGTATGTATGTATATATGTACGTATGTAAATTCTTTGCTTAGTATGACTAACTAATACAGTCATGCACTCATTCATGAAATATGAGTATAAAATTATTATAAAAATCCATCGTCCAACTTTATGAAAATTTTTATGTTTATTACAAAATAGACAAAAAAAGGGGGAAAAAAGAAAAGAGATGAAAAACAAGACTTGTGTGAATAGACAAAAGCTATTGTTTGCAATGTTTTTAACAGGAAGATGGAAAGGAAAACAGTCGTACATTTAAATATTTCTATCTCGATAAAGACAATGGCAAATGAAATTTTTTGCTTTATTTTTTCTTCTTTTTTTTTTTTTATTTTTTTTATTTGTACTAAAAATTTAAAAACGAAATAAAAAATTATAGCTAAATGTATGCAAAAATAATGCATAAATTTTAATATATGTATATATATATATATATATATATATATATATATGCGAATGTGCACCCAATCTGCGTATACGTAAATGTTTTCCGTACACTTTTGTTCCTTTTCAAATTTCAGATGTCAACATGGTTGCCGAGCCCAAACCCCATCAAATTGGCCGTAAAAGGCAGAATGTGAACAAAACCGGAAATGATTGGTGAGTAAATGATGGTATCAAACCTGTCCAGTGAGGTGTACATATATACATATATGATGCCGAAAACGCCGAAAAATAGAACAAAAAAAAAGAAATAAATAAAAAATTAAAACAAAAAACAACGAACAACGGACATAGTTTCATACGTATGCTGGCCTTCTCTTTAAGCCGTTAACTGTTTGGAGTAACTTTTCCAACTGATTTTTTCTATAATTTTTATGCGAACAAAAACCACAAAATTCAAAAATCTCTACTGCTGCTCGTTATACAGCGCAGTCGAGAATTTTCTTTAAACGGAGGACGAATAATTTGTTTCTCCTCGCAGCCAATGTCTGAAATGATCCTTTCTTTCCACATTCTATATATATATATATATATATATATATATATATATATATATCTTAAATCAATGGAAGATTTTTTTTGCGAAAACTAACTATTCGTCAAACGAACAAATAAAATATTTTTAAATAAACAAAATAAGGTAACGGTTTGGTAGATAGCAATGCGTATCTATGCGTATATTTACGTCCATACCGGATGAAATAATTAATTTATTCGTAAGAGTAATGATTAAAAAAATCAACAATGATTTCATATTTGCATTAATGTCGGTCATCTGATCTATGACGACCTATATCAAAAATTATAATTTCGAATCTTAAAGGAAATGAGTTTCAAAGTGTCTACGATGACGTTTATTCGCATTTAACTAAATTATTTTTAGTTAACCTCAGGCGGCCTCTTCTTCTTTATTCCTCATATATATAATTTTTATTTATTATTTTTATTAACAAAAACAATTAAGAACATTATAATCGGGCAAGGCCGACTATTAGATATCCTACACTATTTCGCCAAATGCATTCATTCACTCGCTTACACACTATTTTCACGCAAAAGACACACTTTTTCCGAATGCTCGCATATTGGAGGAATCTTTACATGAGCTGGTATCTTGGAGTCCCCGCACGCGGTGGTCGAACAAGTTTGATTTCTATCTCAGTTTACCCCATTTCACTCTATAAAGATTCAGTTTTCGTAGAAACGGTTATATGAGAGATGGTCTAAAACCAACAGTTTTTCACACCAACTTAACATCTCCAAATACTATTGCAGACCGCGTTTTGAGAATAGTAATCTTTCTTCATATAGCGACTATTGGAAATAATGCCTTATATGGCGTATGGTCGAAAAAGTGGACCCATCGAAACCATTTTCAATGGCATTTATCCTTGGATTGAAGCACATCAGTGTATCAAAATTGATTAAAATATCGCAGAAATTGCGACCTGTAGCTTGAACGCAAAAATGCATGCACAGTCGACAAACAGACCGACAGGGACAGGAGATCGTTTTCTGAATAAAAGGCGGGTCTAACTTACGCTCATTTACGTGCTACATATGTCCGCACAAATTTAATATACCGTGTAGCGCATATGGGATATAATAAAAATAAGACCACTAGAACTTGTGGTAATAAAATAGTCCGCCGAAGCCGTGTTTATAACGATTATTATGTTTTCTTTTGCGTCTTTTACGTTCAAAAATTATTTCAAAAGGTTTTTTCCTTTTTATTTCTTTTTTGGACAGTTACTGTATAGTCGTATATGTATATTTTATGTAACAGCCAGTTTGACATGTAGGAACTTGAAGCACTCATGTTGCGAAAATTCGTTCGTTTACAAAAGTTTTCGTTATTGCATGTGTGCTGATTGCATAAACGTAGCCCTATACATATAAACAAATAATGACCGCTGTCATCATTATCCCGACCATCAACTGCAAAAATGTCAAACGCTGTTGTTGCTATTTTGTGCGCTGCAGTGTTGACAGACCACTCGCAAACCCACACGTTTACGCTTCAAGTATTTTCAAGTTGTCTGTTCTTGTTCCTGTTTTTGTTCTGCCTCGTAAAGCGTATTGTGTACGCTTGTTTTTTCGTAGCATATACACTTACATATGTATAACCATATCGTATCGTACTATTTTGTAAAGGGCAGTAAAAAATATTTCACTTCGCGAAACAATGTCAAAAAAGGACATTTAAGTGATGAATAGTTGTTGTTTGTTATTTACAGAGACATAGAGCTATGCATAAAGCAAAACCCTCACATAAACACGGTCACTCAAGTACGGAGGCCTTACAACGTTCTACGTGTCTATGATTGTGTATAACATTCCAGAAAAGTCAATCGTTTGGTCGTTCTCTCTGCATTTAAGAGTGTATTAATTTCGGAGGTTGTGTAATAATATGAAATTTCTGTTCTTATATTTCTTCTTCGTTTTTTTTTTTTTTTTTTTTTTTTCTTTTTTGCTGAACAATTGTTTAATGACATGTAAATAAAGGAAAATATAAATATATTCGATGCGTTCTTTTGTTCTCTCTTCATTGAATTACTTTGTAAACATTTCTACGAAACTGAGACCATAGCGACGTTAAGTAAGAAGTTAAGTTTATTCGCCTTGGAATGAAACCCCTGGATATCCTGTGTTTTAAATAGCGTCCTTTAAATGTTACTCAGCCGACTGATTATTCGCTGTATGGCAAAAATAAAAAAAAAAAAAGGAAAGGGCTTTGCGGGTCTCATCTCCCAAACTGAGCAAAAAAAACTTGATTTCTTTCAAGGTTTTGTATTTGAACAAAAGTTGTTGTATTACGTCCCTCTTTAGGTTTATTGAGATATGTATGCACTCGAAGTGTTCAGTTGTTGTATATTTGCAATTCTGAAGATTCAAACGCCCGACAGTAAGTAGCCTTGTAAAAAATTCATTTAGAAATTCACATCGATCAAGCATGTGTATATATATATATACGTATACATATTTATAGATAATATATAACGGTTTCTTTAGGGTGTGTTTTTGTACACTACAATTGGACGATGTGGTTCTTAAAAATTCATTCCCGGTTCATAGATGTAAAATTAGCTCAATTGTGTTCTATATATTTTTTCATTCGCACATATCTCAATCTTTAGCCACATGTACCGTGCGTACATTGTATAGGACATATTCCATATCGATAATAATACGCGGGCGATATGATGAACGTTCAGCATAACAGAAACGGACGCTTGCTTCCTTGCTTACTTGTGATATGTTTTTGCTTTGCGCGACTTTATAAAGGCTCTCAGTTATTACCGGCGATTCTATGTATATTTGCGATTTGTTTTCGGTTTTTACAATATTGAAATAATTCGTTTTGAACGCGGATACAATGGATTAAAATTAAAGCAAGACTTGATTTGCCTTGATTTATCTGTTTTGAAACAATACCTGCCACGTTCTTTCAAGCTTTTGCACATCTATCTCGAATCTGCGCAAACTCTACATATTTTTTTCCTTCTCGTCCATCTATAATCCTTCCAGACTGTATACGACGATAGTTCTGAATAACATTCAGAATCGTTTAGGAAGTGCGTTGAACGTATTTCTGCGTATACATTGAAATCGTTCATTCGAGAACTTTACGAAAACTCTGCTTCTTCTAGTTGATATTTCATCGAGAATTCTCCAAATCATTTGAACTCATTTACTTGCGCAAGCTGCAATTATATAACAAATAGATTAAGAGAAATTGAATTATTACTCGGTATTAATCTTCTTCTACTTTTTTTTTTTGTTTATTGTGTTGCGTCTTACCAGCATGAACTTGTTGTTATTGCTGATTTCTAACGATACGTAAACTTTCAGTCGGTGGCACTATCAACGCAACTACTTATCATATATATATATATATATATATATATATATATGCGTATTTATAAAATTATGGTAAAATACATTCTTGGGCTAGTATTGGTAGTAAAGTGCTGTTAATTTGTCAAATTCCAGACGTGCAAACAACAAGATGTGAAATTTAATTAAAATGCTCACTCGTGTGACGCATGAAATTGTGAATTCGATTTTAAATTCAAGCATTAGTTTGTGGATTGTCGATTTACTGTAATACACATACATATATATGTAAGCCCATATACGCACACGCTGGCACAGACACTTTATTACACATATGTTATATCAAATATCGATACATGCCTGCATTCATTCATATGTACGTTCGTCAAGTCCAAACTATACGTCAAAATAGTTCATTAATATATTTCATTACCAATAAGGCACAAGTTCATCAATCATCATCAATAGCAATGTTCAAGTCATCAGGGACCAGAGCTTATTGAAGGGAATAAATTTGAAAAGCTTATAAATAATTTAATCAACTAAAGAAGCAAAACAAAATGTAAAGCGTAAAGTTCAAGAATATTCAGTAACATGCGAAAAATGAGTTTTAGTTCAGCAAGAAGGTTTACCGCCATATATTAACCGTTTCTAGCTTAAACAGTTCTCCGAAGTAAACATCAAAGAGAATAAATATACAAAAAATTGAACGAATAAACGGATTATCGGCTGAATGGGTGCATGAATGCTTGTCCCGAAAGCTTCTACTGAAGATTTTAAAATATACGAAACTTTAAAAGCATGACAGAGGGATTCAGGTATATTCAAAAACTTCTGCCGCTGTTGTGGTGGTGTCAGGTAGTGCTCGCAACAAGCAATCATAATTTTGAAGCCAATATCAACGGGTCCTAAGATAGAAGACATGACAACCGACGACGCATTAGTTGGGCCCAATGTATGCTACGTTCGCGGGTTTTAGTAACGAAGATTGTCGCTTATTTTAAATTTTTTTTTGAAAGTTTCTTGTGTTCAGGGGGCAGAGGAGGCAAAAAAGTTCAACCCATTTACCTTACTATATATTTAGCTATCACAAAGTCTTTGTACAGTCATAATAATATGACTAAAGGCGCTTGTACATGATGCGTCACAAATGAAAGCATTTACGTCAGATCTGATAGTAACTCATTTCCTATTTGCAATTAGTCTCATGTAAAAAGTCTCCGCGGCTTTTTCTATGGGACAGCATTAATACCTATATATATCGAGCAACACTTATCTCAACTTGCCGCAAACGAACATGTGCTAAAAACGTGATATTTCAACTTGCATTTTTTGTTAAAATAGTTTTCGAATTCTTTGCTCGCGTAAAAAGTTGCATTGATTTGAAAATCAGTGAATCATATGAAATGAAGAAATACCCTATATGATGCATTTAACATTTTGAAGCGAACGAAGGACCCAAGAGTTGTTTGCTCGATTCCGTTTCGGAAATTTCGATGCCCAAAATATACCTCGCTCTAGTCAAAAAGTCGATAAAATTTTGCAATCGCGTGGACGTTTTACATGCCGCTAATAATTTACAAATTACGCGAAATTTACAAGATACGCCTTAAACACTCAATGATTACCTACTCATTCGCACACTCAAGATCAAAACAAAATGATTAGCCAAAATAAATTTTTGCTTTGAATTAGGAAAAACAATTGTTGAAATAAAAACCACAAGTTATTACATAACTAATAGACGTAAACTGTCACTAAAGTATGGTCTTCGTTTGCGTACTCATGCGCTCATGTTTTCTAGACTAAAATCTTGCGGTTTTTCACCAAAATGACGTAATTGAGAAGTGCTTCAATTTAGAGAGTGCGTTCATCGCAAAAGATAATTAACCAGATCCTTATGTTATAGTAGTTGCAGTAGAGTGAGCTTGACCTGGCGCTATTGTTGCATAGTGCTTATCCATTGTGTTATCATTGCCGTTCATTGTAGACATTGAGATTTGAGTTCGTTGAGGGTCTCATTAAATCGTCCCCTTTTGATTGGGGGCAACGGTTCTGCTTTTCCATATATTATGTATACATAAGAAGAAGAATCTTTGAGTCAAGTCGAAAAGGAGATTGTCAACACTCAGTTCCATCATCACAACTAGTAGCAACACTTCTTAAAAAATTTATCATTTATAGAGAGCATGTACAAAAGAAATGTACACAATGTACACCAGCAGCAACTTCTCTCGGTCATTTTAATAGCACTGTGTTCAAAAAATATGGGAAATTTTGAAATAAACATTTCTTTCTAATATTCGAAGCAATACTAGTAGTCCTCGGTTCCTGATATAGGGTTAAGAGGAGCCAACGAACTCTCTTTAATGAATAGAAACGAAAGGAGTTCTTTAACCTCTTTGAAACGGGGAGGATGTCACTAGACCTAGAGCTCATCTCAGGTAAATCGGTTAATTTTGGAGTGACATTAATTTCAAGTTTGTTTTAAAATGTGTGAATAATTATGGCAGTGTGCGCAGTGTACCTTATCGTGTTGCAAAAGCTAAGAACACAAATTTCCACAAATTTGAGTATTCCTTACAATCGTCGCTGGGACGAGCTGGGTAGGATTTCTCATGGAGTGTTTTACGCTTTGGGGGTCATATCGCGTAAACAATAGTTTTTACTTTTCGTGGTTCTTTTTCGTTTTCATTTTCTTTCATCGAAATATTCGATTGATAGTCGTTTTATTTCTGGATCGCTTTATGACTTTTCCCTATAGTTATGTCTTATAAAAAACATTTCTCTAACCAATGGAATGCGAACTTGTTTTTCGAAAAAATTCAATTATTTTAGACCAAGAAGGGAAAGGCAACAAGATATTTCCAAGCGGCTCCGTGATTCAATTGATATGCTTTCGTCGGTGAAATTAAAATGCAAACTCCTTACCCACGGTCGCTTTGATCTGCTTCTCTACTATTTCTAAAAACTTTTTTTTATCCCCTATTAACATTTGGTTACGACAATGCTTTCTTGCTATGGCACTTTCATATATATTTTCAAAACATCTACTTAAGCAAATTTCGAGACAAATCCTTCATAACGCAGCGACAACAACTGCTAAATATTACAAGAGACCGTCTCGTTTATAATATTACATGACGAGTATGCATTAATGGCATAACAATATAATATATAATAATGTAATAATATATAATATAAATATTCTCTGGAAACAAAGTACGCAGTGACGTTATAACGAAAGATTTCCGCATAGTTTCTCAAACCCACGCAATATCTTCGATTAATTAATAGGTGAATAAATATCAAGATCATAATTTTGCTTTGTAACGCACACAACCAACCAAACAATCTATATTTCGAGGCATTCACCTGGGCATTGTAAAGTTAATGGTAGATATGATTGTAAGAGTATTTTGTATATAGAATTGAATTGGCAGGCTGCGAAAGAGGAAGCACTTTGCTACCTACAGCACTTCGACATCTCAACATATATATACATATATTCATATATATATGTTATTATTATATTTTTCTCGATAAAATGTTGAATGTGTACAGGTAACATCCAGTAATCACGATTGCTGGATCGCTTTTGTAATCCGGAAAAGTAACATATATATTCTATTGTTGTTGTTATTTACAATTTTTCCAAATACAATATAACGGGAAATATATAAATATTTGGAATGCTACTTAAATATATTATTATAAAATACATATATGTATAAATATTATCTTTACTGTTGATAATCACTTATATCGCATATTTCCATTGGTTTCATCGGTTATTCTTACCCTTGTTTTTTTGTTTTTTTTTTTTTTTTGCGTAATTGAAATGACCCCAAAAAGTAAGAGCCCTGAAGGTAGAGAGAATTTATATTGATTGTATGAACGTTTTTTCCGCGTTCACTTCACTAAATGAGCCAACATTGTAAATTTAGTTGATAAACTCTACGTACAATAACTAAACTGTATAAGGTATAACGAACGGCTCGTTTGGTCGATTGCGTTTGTATGCATTTTGTTGTTCGTTTTTCTGGGGTCATAGAAATGGTTTTTAATTTGTAAACAATGTCTGGTTAAATGGAGCGACAATAAGCGCATCAATTTATTTGTGTTGGCAATATTGGTTTTTTAGGCGTAAACTTTTGAAAATATTAAGAATAATACCATTAGGGGACTGACTGCTCGTGTTGACAAATCAATTAGTCACAATGGTTGACAATAAACTTTATTGATATGAAAATACATACAAAATATGTTTCTCGATACGCTTTGATTGATTTCTAACGTTAACGGACTCAATTTACTCAGTAATTTATTTCTCATTTTGCCACCGCTTTGCTTTAGGGACTATTTTTACGATAGTTATTGCTCATCTGCGACGACATCCAATAATGGGATGCGACCGAAGAAGCGTAAACGTTTAATGAGCAATTCAAGTCGAATGGTCTCTTTGAGTGATGCGGTCAATAGTGGTAATCTTAATGCTGCTGTCGCGGCGGCTGCTGTAGCTCAACAGCAACAACAGCAATTACATCAACAGCAGCAACAGCATCAACAGCAGACACAACAGCAACAACAAGTAGCTGCAGTAGCAATGGCTGCGATGGCCAATTTATTGCCTCAACAACAATTATTATTACATCAACAGAGTCTACTTTCGAATGCTAACGGAGCAATTACAAGTGCTGCGGCTGCCGCCTGTAACGGAGCAACCACTACACCTCATCATACAAATCTCGGTATATATTTGCAACAACAACAACAGCAACAACATTTAAAACAGCAACAGGCTGCCGCTGCAGCAGTGGCTGTTGCCGCTCAGTATGCGGCAGCGACTAATGGCACCTTACAGCTAAATATGTCTTCACCTCTAATTAACGGCAGCCTTACTAATCAACCGTCATCGAATTCATCGTCACTCGTATCAACACATAACGGCGGGAATAGCATTGGAGATCAGCAAGCGATTCTAGCAAATCAACCACATTTGCTGCAGCATCAGCAACCACAGCCAACAAATATTATGCAGCCTTTGGCGTTATCATTATCACCGCAACATCAGACTCAACAACAGCAACAGCAGCAACAACAACAACAACAACAACAACAACAAAAGCAGCATACAAAACAACAGCAAGTGCATCTTTTACAATCACAAAATCACCATCAGTCGTCTCTGGCATCGCTATCATCATCGTCTTCTCAATTGCATACACAAGCCATACTACAACAACACCAACATGAACAACTAACGATAAATCAACAATGGGGTCCCTTTAAGGTTTACAGTAAGTATCATAGTAATAGCAGTAGTAGTAGTAGTAGTAGTAGTAGTAGTAGTAGTAGTTGTCAATTTTTCAAATTTTCAAAATATCTGAACTAAACTGAGATTTTTTAAACAAAAAGTTAAATAAGACAATGTCTGGCCATTTCCAAAAAAACAAAAAAAAACACAAATTTAACTTACATGACACTGGTCTACTACAACGTGTGGAAATATGACTTTCGCAAAACTATGGAGAAACGTGTTTGTTTGTTTGTTTGTTTGTTTTCATAACGAATGCATTTTTCTACGAATCCATTAAATGCGAGCAGGAGTAAAAGGCTTCATTATTATTTAAATACGTTAACTAAACTCACGAACGGAGAAGGGAAAATGCCTCTGCCACAGTAATAATCAAATCAGCGATAAGCGAAAGACTTGAGGAGCCCGTGCAAAAACTTCGACCCACCATCTGTTTGACGTGATTATTAGTTGTGTCGTAATTATTGATCATTTTTATATTCGATAGGTGCAATAAATGGATGAAAATAGTCGGGTGTATTTCTTGGACATGGGATGTAATTAAATTCGATTTCGTTGGGTGTTAGCGACTTTTGTTTTCTTCTATTCTCTTCTTTGTTTTTTAAGTTTATCATTTACTTTTCTAATAAAAATATTTACTTTTTTTTTGCACAATTTGCTAGGCAATCCGGACACATTAATTTGCGGCAATTGTCGAGAATGTTTCAACGAACTGGCTGAATTATTAGACCACAAGAGAAGTTATTGCAAACTAAGGTTCACATGTAAATGCCAGGAGCTAACAATAAATGCAAGTAAGTGCACACAAGTACCCATAAATGTATACACACGCGCACACATACTTGTAATGTTAATAGAAATACGTAGACATTAACATCTAAACAACTCCCCTTGATGTGTATTTTAAAATTACTGCAAACGAATGCCAGGCTGTATAAGACTTAAACATATAAATATGAAATTTTGTTCAAATTTCAAGTTGGGCGCGTAAAGCATCCGTAGACATATCTGTATGTAAGGATGCACAGACAATCACAAACCCCCCCGGCCCCCTTCCACATTGACACAAGCATATACAGACATATATCTATATATATGTATATATATATATATATCTGTTGAGTTTTGTTAGATACAGAGACGGACGAAAAGTGACTGAAAAGAATGCATTACACACGCGTTCACATACGTACACATATCTATGCAAAAAGTTGATGTTGTTTGTAATTAATTTATTATTGTTTAACACTTTTATGCAATTGTTCTGTGGCCAATGTTTTTTCGTAACGCACACAAGCTTGGTCCATAATTTATACTCCGGCATACATCTATCTCTCTACTTACCCTACTGCAAATACTCTACGAGTATAAACAATTTCAACGAGGAACGAGTATCCATACATAAGCTAAGGAGATTATATAACTTTCGCTTCTATTTTTTTTGTTTTTGTTTTTTTTTTTTTTTTTTGTTTTCGAACGTTTTTGCTTTTGTAAGAAGTGTAAAGAGGATATAGAGGCAGAGTCCGGTAACAGCTGTTATTGTTTACTGTTAAAAACTCAGTAACAAGATAACAACAAGATATATTGCGTTTTGCGGTTGGCCTAAGTATTCCTAAGAAGGACCAACATTTCGTTTCGCTTAAATGCTATTCAAATTAAGCCGGCCATGCTTGCGATTTAAAATTAAATTCGAACGAATTGCGAGTGAAAATATGTACTCAGTTAAGTCAAAAAGTTTTAAATCATATTACGATAGAATTCTCTAATCAGATAAAAGCGTGAAAAAGAAAGGTTTCTATTCTCATCACACTTGCCGTCGCGGGAATGAAAAATTTCACAATTAGACTGACACAACGGATCGATTGAATGGAAGGAATCGTTTTTTCTTTTTTCTTTTTTTGCGCTTAAACAGATAATTCGGTTGACGCGCTAATAGTCCAACGAAAGTGTCGTCATAGCAAAATCAATTAGGTGGAATGAATAATCGTTTACTTATGTACATATATACATACATATATATTTATATAGTTTTATAACTTTTAAAGAAATATGCATTTAATATTCTCGTCGTATTTGTTCTTCTCCTTGGTTTTTCGTTATAGAAAATCCACCTTCGGGGGCGAAACTGTTGTGTGCGATGTGCAAAGATGCTTTCGTTAATCCTTGGGATCTAATGGTGCATGCTCAAGCAGCACACATGGTCAATATATACGAATTGAGCAATGAGCCCAGTAACAACAATGAGCTTAGTGGTGACAGCAACAGAAGCAACAATAACAATAATGTCGACATTGACGCTAACTCAACGACTAATAAAAGGAACAAAGCCAATGATCTCACTTGCAATAATAATAACAACAACAACAACAATAATAATAATAATAATAATAATAATAATAATAATAGTATTAACAATAATAACAACAGCAGCAACAGTAACAGCAACAACAATCACAACGACAATGATAGTAACAATAATAACAATACAAAAAACCACAACAATGGCATACAATCGTCACTTGAAAAACCAGCACCAGCACCTTCTGCTGCTAATCCTGAAGCTATCGTCATCAGTAATGGCACCGCCCTTCATATAAGGAATAGAACAGAATCGCCATCTGCTAAACAAATAACAGCAGCAACGACAACCCAGCCGTCTATATTGGATAACATGAATGGAACGGATGTTAACATCATGCTGAACAACGACAACGGCAACAGTTGTTATAATAGCTTAGTCGGTGATGGGAGCATTAGTGATTCGGAGGCCAATTTAAGTGTGGAGCTTAAATTTGGTATTTGCAACAGCCCAAACGGTACAATCAATGTTAAAGAGGTAGAGAGATAAAAATTAATTAGATTCAGTTCTAAGAAGAATGTTTTTTTTTTTTTTTTTTTTTTTTTTTCGTCTTTTTAGCAAATTTATACATTCCTCCCATTTTGGGTTTCTGCTTTTCAACCCATACCAAATATTTAATGTTGAGAATTAATTATTTTTGATTTGTTGTTTGCTTTTAACGCTTAATTTTAAATAGGATACGCATCGTGATGACGGCTCGTTAGACGGTGGCATGTCAAATTCATCACAAACTCACCACTCGGATGATGTTAAATTGTTAAATAACAATGGTTCGATGTCATCGCGTGGCAGTTCACCAGCTTTGGATACCGATGAGACACTCGCACAACCGCAAAAGGCCTGCATTGTCCGAACATTAAGTATTGTAAGTACAGCAACGATGGAATCATAACAACAAGAACTCGGAAAAACAAAAAAAAAAAAAACAAAAAAGAAAACACACACATATATATATAAAACAATTTTACACGCATACAAAATATAATTATTTAAAAATTCCAAATACGCTTGCATATGCACACACGTAAAATACACGTGCACACACAAATAAACATACGCATACACTATGCAAGTATGCAAGTATAAACTGCAAATATATAATTGAAAACCATTAATAACTCTTGAAAAAGCTTAAGTTTCAGCAAAAATAATGAATGAATATAAATTGAAAACGAAATGAAAATATTTATGTTTGCATTTAAAGAGTCATATCCGCATATATACGCTACTCACATTGTACACATTTGTACATTCAATTCAATTGGTTCATTTTGTTATTTTATTTATTTACGTATTTATTTATTTATTTATTTATTTATTTTATTATTATTATTATTATTGTTTGTTTTTTCTTTCATTTTTTTTTTTTTTTTTTTTTTTTTTTTTTTTTGTTGCTTACTTCTTCATGATGTATCATCATCACAACATTACAGGAGACCACCACTGCAGGCAGTTCTTCCGTTCCTCCAGCCGCGATCGGGTTAATGCCAAAGAGTTTGGCTTTAAGCCTGACTAACGGTACCACGGCAAAAGCTGCAGCTGCCCCACAATAGACCAGAGAAACAACAACTAACCGACAGACAAACCGAACGTTTTATCCACAGACCCACACATCCCACCTTCATATTGTGCTGATATGGCAGTAGCAGAGCGAAGAGTACTGAAACCACAATAACAGCTACCATAAACATACAAACAAATTGCACGTATAACAGCGAATACAGCAACAAAAGCAGCAACAACAACAATAATAACAACAACAACAACAACAATAATAATAATAATAATAAAACGTTTGTTGTTCGCACTTTTTACAACTACCGACATTCAGCGGACAATTGCTATATATACTCGCATGGTCAGACAAACTTCAGATTATAAATAATTTAAGCCTTCAGTTGCAGTTTTTCTTTAACAACAACAACAACAACAACAACCACAATAATAATAATAATAATAACAACAATAACAAATTAACAATCTATCTGCTGCATTTCACATTTGGAAAATAAAATCGAAAACAAAAATTCCCCGAAAAAAAGAAAGAAAAATGACTTCGTTTGTGTTTGGCTTAAAAAAAAAAAAAAAAACAAATATATATATATAAATATTTTTTTTATATACGTATATGTTGTCCTAGAACATTTAAATTCCTTTCTCTACATATAAAACAGATTTTCATTTTCTTTTTTTTTTTACTTTCTTTTCGTTTCTTTGGTTTTAATAAACAATACATTCTTCTGATGCTTATAAATGAATCGTTAAATATTGAAAACTTGATATAAAATTGTTAGAAAACTTATTTAACAAGGCTTCGTTTGGAAATATTTAACAATAAGTTAAGAAAATTAAAAATTCGATAAAACAAAAGGGCAAGATTTAATTGTTTATTAATAATAAAAAAAAAAAAATTAAAAAAATTAATCAACATTTTATCATTAGTTGTTTTGTGAACTTTCTGTTGCAAGTCTTCATTCGGGGACCCGAGTCCCGTCGGCAATAAACACATACTATTCAAGAAGTTATCTTATTCGGTCGCACATTCGCCCAGAATCGATCAAGCATGAGTAACTCCTTTCTTCGGTGACTCATCAGAGCATTAGTCGTAGACTTAAGGCCAAACTTATCAAACTTTTTAAACATTTGGTCGACCCTTGTTTGTTCAAAGCGCTATTAACAGCCGCCCATAGAGACGAATAGGAAAGCGAATTCTTCATTGAACTCTGGCACCCGTCATACCTAAATTTCTCTTATCAAGCTTAAGCAGAGTGGGCAGACACATTTGCATTTGAGTTTTTCATACAGTCTCGAAGTACCATCTTATCCCACGCAGCGTTCACAAGCGCGGGAATAAATCAACACTCAACCCTAGCTTATTACATTATATCTGCGACCTAAGTACTATTCCTCAGGTTTGCAGAGGTGACAGAAAATGACAAGAAATCTTATCCCACTACATCCACTTGACAGGCCTGAGCCTGTCTGTACGATCTGAACCAGGATTGTAGATAGTAAAAACTTTCAGCCCTTCTTAGCCACCAAGTGATCTCTGATTTAATGTATGGTTCGGCATAAATCGCGAAAAAGTGGATTCCAGGATTTAGTTTTTACGAATGCCATTGATAGACTCGCAGCTGCGGTTCGATATAGGCTTGCAAGCACCGCGCAAAACCACAAATAAGATAAACACAGCTGAGATTAAGTTCGCATTTTATTTATAATTTTTATTTTTTTATTTTTTTTTATTATCGACTGCCTAAGTGAACATGAGAACATGCCGCTGCCGGGATCATTCTGGTGTATAATATTCAATATACCGATTAATGCAGGCACCGTATTACAGATTGACATTTCTCGCACATCTTATAAGATTAATAGGGGGAAAAAATTGCATTTAAATTCTCGACATTTTTTCGACATTGTTCGCATACTCCTCATATTTATTGTAAAAATTACTTTTTTTCTCTCTTATCTCTTATCTCCCGGCCAATTCTTGTGGCACCATGAAATTCAATCAATAATGGATGCGTTTTAAGTTAACTTGCTATTCAAATCTTCGCAACAATCAATTATTTATTAATTGATAAACGAATGTCAGAGGAGACGCAATGTCTTTTACACAAATTTTACTACGATTTTTCTGAGGCGTTTTTCTCGCTTATGTGTTCGAAATTTTTTTATTGGTTTTATGAAAAAATGATTTTCATCAGAGATTATACACACACACACACACACAGAGAAAGACAAACACAAACACACACACACACACAGCCAAGTGTATATAAAGCATATAATTGTCCAGTTTTGTATAAATCATCAAATAAAACAACAATTTATACGTAATTCTTTTGGCTGCTAGCGAAATATGTCAGGGCAATGGCGTCTACATATGAATTTCCTTAACTCATTTCTCTACCATATATAATTAAAATTTTGTGTTTTCATTAATGCACAGATTTTTGCAACCATACTAACTTCTATTTAATAAATTGTCACGAAAATATATTAACAGAAAACGCAAAAAAATAAAAAAAAAAAAAAAAAAAAAAAACCAAACAAATAAAAATAAAGAGAGAGAGAGAGGAAAAAAAAAAGTAAAAGGAAACCAAATAAAACATTTACATGAAAGTAAATACATATCATTTTAACTTAGTTGACATTAAACTATATGAATATTATATATACAAATGAATATATACACATAAATAATATATAATTTATATTATAATGAAAGCATAATCAATTTAAAATATATATATGTAAACTTGCTTTGTAAAAATAATTCTTTTCAAAAAAATGAGCTTTTCATCTACGACGACACATATCGTTATCTAAGATTATAAAGGATATCCAAAAATCTGAAACTGTATTAGAATAGATTCATTATTTACGTTTTATCGCAAATCTAAATTCGTTGTCTTGACCTTTTTATCCAACAAGAACTAACATATATGTGTTATGATTATTATACGCGCTTATGGTAAAGGTATATTAAATTTATAGGAACGTTCGCAACACTTGAACGATTTAGAAATAGATTCGTTTTTTTTGTTATGTTAAGCAAGTCACAATCATTTTCTGAATCCATTTAATCATGTCTGTCTGTCCATCCATCCATCGATCCATCCAACCATCTATCTATCTAACATCGATTTATTACGACCATGTTTTCGTGTTCAATCTACAAATCATAAATTCAATTAAAATAATTTTAGAGAAATGTCATACACTGCCATGTTTGAGACCTAAAGACGAATGATGCTACTGTAAATGAACCACATCGTACCATTTGGACAATTAAATCTCTCTTTAAAGAAGATCTCACTCTAAAAAAAAAACAAAAAAAAAAAATTTTCGTTTTTTTAATATTTTTCAACAAAAATTGTAAGAAATTTGACTGGGATGGAACCATTTTCTTCAAGCCTCTTCTTCCATATAAATGTTCTGTAAAAAAAAAAAAAAAAAAAAAAAAAAATGCAGGCGTTACACATACCGATCGAATAGACGTCCACCAGACTGCGATCACAAGCTCTATATCTTTTTCTCTTTCCTCACAGGGAGCATAGGAAAAACAAAAAAAGATGTTACTAAGAAACTTGGTAAGTTTGGATTATAAAGATCTATTTTTCGAACCACTGCCATATAAAGATTCCTATGAAAAATAGGATAAAATTTTTGATATTTTACGACAAATTTCAATGAAACAGGTGTAATGGCTTACCCAGCTAAAGCGTGTTTACTTGTTTATATCGGCTACCGAGAAATAAAGACATGTCTAAGCCCTAAGATATCCTTGTACAAAATCAAAATTCGTCTTGGAGACGTGTGTTTGCTATTAGCCTCTTCGCCATTTATAATCTGGCAGGGATTGAGAAGAAAAAAGAAGCACAAATATCACATTTACTCTCGTCAATAACTCCTTACTATCCATTTGGATTAAGAATATATGGAAGCGATATAAGAGGGAACAAGAGCCAACGAAAACACCTACAATAAGTGAACATTGCCTGGGAAGATGACACACAAGTGCATAAAACAATGTATTAAAATTATTAAAAGAAGAGAGAAGAAGAAGAAGAACTGACCTGAATATTCCCTTAACTATACAAAAATGGTTCAAATCAATGACTATGACAAGATCAGAAAATTTTGAATGGTTCAAGAGATCAATTTACTGAATACACAGATAAAACAGGCACCTACTTTGAACCTTTTTTACTTAGAACAGTGAATTGCGTACTGTTGATTTTCTAAGTTAGATAAGAAGGAGAAGAAGAAGAGGCAGATACATATTATAGATATTTTGAGTGCAACTGATTACTTGTCGCTCGTTGTGACTAAAATAAAAATCTTGGAAAGTCTTAAGCTCTACAGGCGTTTCCTGCGCGCGCGTTTGGCTTGAGCTTGTCGCACCGCTGGCTCACACAACTTCAAAATAAAATTCTCTAGTAAGTATAGTGTAACTTTTCTGAGAAATAAATGTGTTTGTCACATTGTTTTTTTTTTTTTAAAAAGCTTTACATTTAAGTAATTTTTTTGTGCTTATTTTGATCATGTATCGAAGAAAAGTGACCGATGCTTATTAGATTTTATTTCGAAGAGTTATTTCGTTTTCTTTTTTTTCATATCTAAGACGCACTGCCTTCATATATTACATAAGTGATATCATAATGCTTGTGCGGCAGAAAGGTTGTTTGATTCGGCGCAAAAGTTTCGATTTCGTGCCTTATCATACATGGAAAGTCGAAAGCAGCAACTTTTCTTGCTAGCGAAAGGGTAAAAATGATTTGCAAGCAAGAAGCAACAAGAAAATTATTAAATACTTATGGAGGCAATCGATGAAATGGAACAGAACGCCAGAACGTCAAAACTAGTTTGCAAGATTTCGTTTCCTCAGCTCCAATCCGACCTGGTAAAGACGAAATAAAGACAAACCGCCGAATGAGAACTCGTGAGATCATCGTGAGATTTTAAAACTATGAAATTTCACCGCCTTTGATCAAATATCTACACACAATAAAGAAACCGACTTTTGTTTTGGCCGAAATTTCTTCTCCGATCAACCAATATATTTTTGGTGATTTTTGATTTGTTGCTTAAATGGCATAGTCATGACCTGTAATAATACGGCACAAGAGGCTAAAGGTTTATTTTAGAAACAGTTGCACGTCTCTATTTTGCTTTTAGAAAGATTACAACAAATTTTTTATGATATGTACAAACAAGTACTCTATACATAAACAAGTAAGAAAGTTATATTCGGCAAAGACCGAATCTCGCATACCCATCACTATGCTCTTCATAGTCTACTCTCCAAGTTCTTTTATTTATTTGATGCCCATATCGCTGGTTATTATTAAGAAAAAACTAATCGCGGTGTCTACCATCGTGTTCGTTTTAAAATTAACCCATTTTTAGGCAGATAATATATCTTCATTTTAGGGAGTCTGGAAAATAGTTTTAAACATTCTGTCCTGCTTATAATAAATAAGCAAAAAACCTCAAAAAGGTAAAAAAAATAAAATTTAATTACTTGTAACTTTGTGGATGCATAGTCGATTGGTTCCATTTTTGC